CCCCACCACCCTGTCTCTCACAAAACAGAGCAAAAGTCAGCAGGGCCAACCTGTATTTTTAACTGCTGCATCTGATGGGCCACACTCTGAGGCTTCTGGGAGCGGAGTGGGTGTGTGACTTCTGCAGCTGGGGGTGTGAGGTGCCGGGTACGTCCCCTGCTCGTCCCCAACCTGCTGCAGGGACCCAGCGGGCAGAGGAGTCGGGACCAGGCTGGGGCAGGGGCAGCAGATGAGAGCTGCTCGTCTGGGAGAGGGCAGGGCTGGGGCCAGAGACACGCTGAGAGCCGCGGGGGCCCCCCTCCTGATGGGTCCAGCCCCGTTAGGGTGTGAACTTACAGAAGCCCCTCCTTTAGCTGCTGCTTTGTCCTGGGGACTGGGAACGGGACGGAAGGGGCACCCGTGTCCAGCACTGCTGTTTAGGCTGGGCACATGGCAATCGTGGGCGGCCCCTGAGCTGGGGGGACACCAGGCAGGTGTAGGACTGAGACAACTGGCCAGGGGTCTGGGCCGCCTGCCCCCAGAATCCACTCTCTGTGGAGCCTGGCCCAGCTTTCCTCACACTGAGGCGGGGGGTCCCTCCAGGCCTGGCTTCCAGACAGCATAGGGCTGGGCCCTGCTTGTCGGTGGCAGTGTCCTGTTGAGGTGGGCTTGAAGGGGCTGCAGGAGGCCACGACAGGCTGACAACCTGCCGGCCAGGCCTCGGCACCCCAGAGGGTTCAGCCTCCCTGCTGCCACTGCGTCGTGAGGCCCACAGTCCGGCACACTGACCTGCTGGGTGACCCCGGACTCACCTGTCCCGGCTTTGGCTCAGGTCCCTGCTCTTAACAACCTCCTGTGGGCTAGGCCTTCCCTGTGCCCCCAGCTAGAGTGGACACGGGCCGAGCATCACGGGAAAGCAAACAGGGACCAGCACACAGCGAAGGGAGGGCTGTAGGGCTGGCTTCGGGCCCCGAGAGGAGCCTGGCTGGCAGAGAGCTGGCTACACAGGTCAAGCAGGGCCGTCCCAGCGGTGGGTGCTGCAAGGCCAAGGCTGGGGGGTCTGTGGTCTGAAGAGACGGTGGAGGGCAGTGCCCGGAGGTGGGTCCTGCTGGCTCAAGGAGGCTGGATCCGGAGCCCAGGACCCATGGGGGCTTCAGGAGGGAAGAGAGCCCGTGGAGGCAAGGGGACGATCAGAGAGGGCAGCTGAAGGTCTGGACACGGGGAGAATGGCCTCGAGGGCTCCAGCCAGCCCACGGGTAGACAAGAGTGCCCTGAAGGGAGCAGGTGTGCCCAGGAGGGACAGCACTGTGGCTGGGGGGGTGGTGATGGAGGTGCCCTCCGGGCCCCCGAGCTGAGGAGAGGGCCCCAGGTCCAGACAGCCAGGCCTGCCAAGGCAGAGGGGCCCCCAAGGCAGCTGGGACGTTCCACAGCCGCATACGTCTGGGGTCCGAGTCCCTTTCCTGGGGACGGGGTCTTGTCTCTACTTTCTGCTGCCTGGACAAACGCGCCACTTGCCACCACCCCCCCCCCCCAACACCCACACACCCGAGCTCTTTTCAAGGGAAAACTTTTTCCTTTAAAAAAAAAAAAAAAAAGAATAAATAGCAAAAAGCAGAACCAAATTTTCCAGAGGTCTGGAGGATTTAAAAGACATACATCTGAACACTCTGTACAGTTTAATTAAACAATTTTAATGCCAATTTCCAAATTGTCCAATGCTTCATCTTGCTTGAACATTCCTTTCTAGCAATGTAGACGTAACACTGTTTCATTGCTTTTAATGTCATTTTCTCCTATCAACGTATGATCTGCTTTTCATTTTCCCTCTGGGGCGAGGTCGTCCCCACGTGGGGCAGAACCCCTCCAGTGGAAGGCACGTGGGCCTCCACTGTGTTCCCGTGAGCACGATGAGGGCCCAGGGCAAGCCCGTGGCTGGGCGGCTCAGCCCCACTGGACGCCGTGGACGCAGAGTCGGTGAGCACCAGGCCAGGGGATGCGGAACCTGGGAGGACCATTCCGGCAGGTCCTCAGCTTGGGCAAGTGGAGGGAAAGGTAGTTGGGGATGGAAAATGCCCCTCCAGGGGTCTTTACAGCACCACCGGTGGTAAATGAGCCATGGGGTTTCTGAAGGCCATAGGCTTTGTCAGGTTATAGATGCTGTCTTTAAAATATAATGTCTACTTTAAAAATCCATGGCCCTGTCCCTTCTGCAGACATCTGGAGGATGGAGCATGACAGAAGAGGGTGACAGTCTCTCATTCAGAATGACAGACAGCTTCCTCCCTGTACCACAAGATCCTGCAGAAGCCCTGTCCGGCCCTCCCATCCCCGGCACCACACCTCACAGTCCACCCACCACATAGGCACCCCAGGCTCTCTCCGGGTCAGCTTTCTCCTGTCTGCCACGGGGCCTTTGCACAGGCTGCTCTCACTGCTGGGAATAACCCTTTGCTCCTCTTCTGGCTGCTTTCTTGTTCTCAATATGTCTGCTGCTTCCTTTCTCGGTTGTCCATGGCACTGAACACAGTTTGTAAATGTTTTTGTCCTGCATCCAAGGATGCGTTACTGGCTGCCGCCTTCCTGGAATGAAGCTCCAGGGAACAAGGACAAGGCCTGTACTGGTCCTTGTCACTGCACCCCCAGTTCCACCCCAGACCCGGCACACTGCACCCCCCCCCCCCCCCTAGTTTTTGTCCAGCAAATCAGTAACAACCTCCAACTAAAACCAACCTGGAGCTTCGCCCTAGACTTAATGAGTGTGTAGGAGATCAGGGACCTGCTTCAGCTCTGGTGTCTGTCCCCTCCTTGCAAGCCTCCCTGTAGGGCTGAGCTCTAGGCCGTGGGCTCTCCCAGAGCCTTCTCCTCCCTAGCTAGGGCCCTAATTGCTGTTTGAGGAACTTAATTACTGGCTGAGGCCCTCCAATGCTAAGTAGTAGCATTAAAATAGAGTAAATGTTTCCCTTTTCTTGAAAAGTTCACGTATACAAGAGAAGGCCCTGCCGAGCGGAGAGCAGCCTGTCCAGGGCACCTCCCGGGACCCGCACCAGAGCTGCCCCGGCCATGTCTTCCTGTCCCCTCGTCCAGTGCCTTCCCAGGGCACAGCTGCCTCCTGGGGACTTCCTCCCCCTCCGCCCCTGCTCAGCCCCTGCCCCACACAGCCCCCTCCCCATCAGGGCTACACCTGGCCTGCTGCCCTGCAGGTGGGGAAGCTCACGCTGGCAGGGACCTAACTGCAGCCTTGCCAGGTGGCCCCCACTCCACGCCATGCCAGCCGCTGGCAAGGCCCAACCAAGGCTCCTGGACTGGGCTCGTGGGGACCACCCGCCTGCTCTTTGTCCAGAGGAAGGGGCTTTCTGGGCGCTGAGGGTGGGCTTGGAAGGAGGGAGTAAGCCGCCCCTCCAGGGCTGCCTGGGGTGTGGGGAAGGTGCTCCCAGAGGAAGTCCGGGGGGTGGGGGACTGGGACGGGACGGTGGGGAAAGTAGGAGCCTCCACCACGACCAAGGCGGGGCGCTGGGGTGGGGAGGAGTCAGGAGCCGCCGGCGCCCTCCCTGCTGACACCTGGCGGACAGGGCTCTCTGTGGGCCTGGTGGAGCCCGCCTGGTCTGGTCCAGGCTCTGAGGTGCCGCCGGCCCTGCGCGGGGTTGGGCCCCACGAGGACTCCGCTGTGGAGGGACCCCTGGAACACAGGCACTCCAGTGACCTGTCCTGCATGTGCTCAGCATGAGAGCGGGAAGCCTTGCTGGAGGGCCTCGCCCCTTCCCCTTTCCCAGGCCTTCACGGGTCTCCACCCGGGAGGGGTAGGCAGCGGACAAGTTCGCAGAAACTGCCTTCCGTTTGTGTGTGTGCGCGCGCCGGTGCTGGGGGAGATGCGGACGCAGGCGCGCCCAGAATCCCACCCACGGACACGGCAGCGCATCACACGGGCACGGTCACACCCAAAACACACACGCGGAGGGGGAGGGGCACGCAGCCTCGCAGTCGCGGTCGCGGCCGCCCACGCCCGCCCAGCCCCGCCCCCTCGGCGACCCTGGCCCGCGTAGCCGGGGTGTAGGGGCGGTGCGCGGCGGCGGCGGCGGCGGCGGCGGCGAAGGCGGAGGCGAGGGGGAGGGGAGAGCCCGCCTCCGCGGCTCTGGCCGCCCCCGCAGCTGGGGGCGGGGAGTACGTTGGCGCCGCTCCCCGCCCCCCCGCCGAGCCGCTCCGCGCGCGCCCCGTGGCGCTCCGCGCGCCCGGAGAGGGGGTGGGGGCGCGGTGGGGTCCAGCTCCGCCCCCGCCCCCCCCTTCCGGGACCCTGGGAACCGGCAGGCGCCCCCCGCGATGGGGGAGGGTCGCCGCGCGCGTGCCTCGGGGCGGGGGCGGCCCCTCCCTCTCGGCGCCCCTGCGGCCCCGCCCCCGCGCCGGCCCCGCCCCCGCCCTCCGCGGCTCACTCCGAAGTTTCCTGCGCCGCGCGCGGACACGCTCTGGGCTTGCTCGCCGCGCCGCGCCCCCGCCCCGCGCCCCCCCGGCCCCGCGCCCCGCGCCCACGGCTCGTCCGCCCAGCGGTCCCCTCCGCGCTGGGGCCGCCCGCCGTCGCCGCCGGGACAGCCGGAGCGGGAGCCGAAGCCGGCGGGCCGGGGCCGGGGGCTCGGGGCCGGGGGCGGCGCGCTCCAGCCGCGGCCAAGCGCCGTGCCGGGTCCGCGGTGACCGCGCCGCCCGGGCGATGCCCGCGGGGACGCCGCCGGCCGCCGGAGCGAGGTGAGACTCGGCGGGGACGCGCGCCCCACTGCGCGGCGGGACCCTTCAACTTAGCGGAGCCGGCGAGGGGGCCCCTGGGGCCCCCGCCCCGGTGGTGGGGGAGGGGCAGCCCAACCCTCGCCGGAGGGAGGGGGCGGGCGGGGGCGGGGGGCGCATTTGTCTCTAATAGGGGAAGACAAAGACATCCCGGCGACCGCGGCTGTTCCCGCAGCTCCGCTGTGCCCGAGGCGGGTGTCGTTCCCGGGTCCCGGTTACCGCCTGTCACCCCGCAGGTGCTGCCCGCTGCCACCATGACCGAGGGCGCGCAGGCGGCCGACGAGGTCCGAGTGCCTCTGGGCGCTCCGGCCCCGGGCCCGGCGGCGGCGGCAGTTGGGGCGTCCCCGGCGAGCCCCGGAGTGCCGGGGCGGAAGGCGGAGCCGGGGTCCGGGCCCGGCGCGTCGCCCCCCGAGAGCCCGGCGGCCGAGCGCGGCGCGGAGCTGGGCGCCGACGAGGAGCAGCCCGTCCCGTACCCGGCGCTGGCGGCCACGGTCTTCTTCTGCCTCGGGCAGACCACGCGGCCGCGCAGCTGGTGTCTCCGGCTGGTCTGTAACCCATATCCTTCCAGGGCCTCCGGGCTGCGGCGGTGCGGGACGGGGGGTCCAGCGCGCGGGACCTCCTCCGCGTGGCCCCCGCGAGCCCGGACTCGTTGGACCCGGAGCGGGCTGGGCGCGCGGGGAGCGCAGGGCAGGGCAGGGACGGCAGGGGTGGGGCTTCGCTCCATACCCGGCCGGGGTGTTCCCGGTGCCGAGCCAGCGCGGGATGGGAGAGGGTGGGAGAGAAGCCGCGAGGCCACCACGAGCTTGGAGGGGAACAGGGGTCGGCCGCGCGGGAAGTCGTGCCCACTTGGGTGGCGGTCGGGACGGGAGTGCTGGCTCCTGGGCTTACAGACTGCTCGCCAGAGGCGGGACCCTCGCTGGGGAGGGGGAGGCCGGCAGGACGTAGAGTAAGGGGAGCGAAGTTTTCAGTCTGTGCTTTGCGCTTCAGAGCGTCGCGGGAGACCCGTGGGGCCGCGAGGCGGTGCGAGTTTGCCGGCCCTTTTCCGCGGAGAGATGCCGTGACGTTGGTTGTGAACTCTCTTCTCCAGGCTGAACTCCGTGCTGGGGCTGATTTAAGTCATGCGCAGCTGGGGGTGGGGGGCAGGGACGCAGCTGGCTCTGTGCGCTCCGGTCCCTTCCCCTAGGGCTTTTCCTGGCCTTGGAGGATGGGGCCCCTCTCTGCTTCCAGCCAGAGCGGCACAGACTTTCAGAGAAGGTTCCAGAGTGGTGTTGGGGCAGCCAGGGGGCACTTGTGGGATGTAGACGGCAGGTTTGGTGCCCCCCCCCCCAAGCAGATGGTGTTTGGGGGCTGTCCTGGTGGGCTCTGGTTGGCCCTGGGTCCTGCCTTTCTGGTTCTCGCTGGTGGTGGGAGCCGGTTTTCAGGAGGCGGTGCCGCGGGTGCTGTGCCTTCAGGCTCCTTGCCCTGGAGAGATTGGACATCCTGGACAAACAGGGACAGGGGGTGGGGGTTGACCGAGGTGGGGACCTGCAAGTAAACTTTATTTGTCAAAATCGAGACAGAGGCTAAAGCAGCAACGTGTGTGTATATTTTTTCTATCTTGTGTGTTTTACTGTATAAATATTAAATGTAAAAGAGGAAACTGTACCAAGAAAAGTAATGAAACCCACGCTGCTTTTTTCCTCCATATCCAAACATCGGCCGAGTCTGGTTCTGCTCCCGGCTGTGAAGAAGGGGGTCATGGTCGCAGCCCAGTGGCCAGCTCAGGGCCTGACCGCCTGCGCCCTCGGCAGACAGTGGGCGACACCTCTCCCGTGTCGGGGCATGGTCTGTCCTCTCTGGAACTCTGGCTTGGAGATGGCCCGGGCACCTCGTGGTTGGCAGGAGGGTGGCGTGGCTGGGTGTCGTGGCGGGTGACGGGGCCGTGTCTGTCTGAGCACCCTAGGCTGGGACGGGCCTGGTCGCCGGCTTTGCGTGCGTGTGCGGCATTTCCAAGCGTGTGCAGAGACCAGATAGGGATAGAGCCGAGTCGGGCCTGTGCTTTGTCTCTGCTGACAGCCCCGTGTCTGGTTGCTCCGGGCCCTGGAGGCTGAGGGAGTGTAACGGTCTGACCCAGGGGTGCTGGGTGTTCTGTGTCCCTGAGCGTGTCTGACAGGCGCGCATGTGTGTGACTCCATGTAGGGGAGCGGGGGCAAGGGTGGCTCATGCAGGTAGGGGGAAGCCAGAGCGGCCTGGGGGATGGGGCCGGCTGGGCCTTGTGGTGGCATCTCCATCTCTGTGCGTCCTTGTGACCCAAGGAGAAGGATGCCCTGTCGCTCTGGGAGCAGGAGGGCCACCGGGCTGGAGGGGGATGGCACTGGCAGGAGGTGGGTTCGGATCCCGGGATGCGCTGACTTGTGTTCTGTGGAGATCCTGCGCCTGACAGGCAGGGTGGGCACGGCACAGCCTTCGGCCTCGTGGGGGCGGCTGCTGACTTCCAGCAGACACCAGGCTGAAGCAGTGGGGGCATGTCGGCTCTGGGGCAAACCTAAAATAAGCCGCGCGCCTGGACAGGTGGGGACTGGTTCCCCTGGCAAGCCCGTGGGGGCTCTGCGTGGCTCGGCGGAGCACTCAGATTCCTGCAGATCGACGGGCTGGCCCTGGGCACACACAGGGTGCGCCTGCCACCGCCAGCTCCCTGTCTGCCCTGCTGCAGGGGACAAAGTCAGAGAGCCAAGTGGGATAATTGGGTTTGCTCTGGGAACCCACACTTGCCGGAGGCTGGCGCAGTCCCAGCCAACGTCCCAGCCCCACACTGGGATTCAGTTGGCGACTGGAACGTGGGAAGGGGCCTTCCCCAAGCCCCCAAGCTCTCGGGAATCCCCGTGGGGGTGACCCCAGCACCCACGATACTGCGTGGTCTGCTCGGGCTCTAAGGGGGACTCCCGACACACGGCAGAGGAGCCGACAAGGGCAGCCCGCGTCCTTATCAATTGACTTGGCTTTTTGAAAATACAGAGGCGCTGGAACTTTCGGGGCAAGCGCTGTTTCTCCTACACAGGTTTATTTATAGAGGAAGGTGGGTGGGATCTGTGTGTTGTAGCCTGCGTGGCTGGGTTATGTTCTGCCCGGGCTCCCCCTGGGTTCCTGACTCCGCGCCTGTCTGCCGGCCACGCAGCTGCTGCGTCCTAGCACCCAGCCCGCAGGGCCTCTGGGGACGCTCACTGCTCTGGAGGGGCCCCAGGGGAGGCCGGCCGCAGCCCAGCGAGGGTGTAAGGGACCAGGAGGGTGCCGAGGAGGCCCCTGGGGGTCGGGTGGCATGCACCTCTAGGAGTCACCTCCCAGGGGCCAGGTATGGGGTGCGCCTCAGCCTAGGGCTCGGAGAAGCCAGAGGACACATCAAGGTCACGCGGCTGCTGGAGGGCAGAGCTGGGGGAGCCCGGTCAGACTCTCAGGTCCCTGTGTTGGGCAGGGGTGCGAGGCTGGGCCAGTCCGAGTTTTTAAAGGCATCTCATGAGAGCTGCTGCTATCCGTTCAGCCGTCACGAGCACGCAGGGCTCACAGTGGGTGTGGGTGTCCTGGTGCGGACGCTGAGGGCATTGACCTAGAACAGGCCCGATCCTTCTCTCCATCCCGCGGCCCACGCTGCCCCCGCACACCGGAACTGAGCAGGACAGTTACATGTGGTGCTCACCTTCCTGATCTTGTGGCCGTGCTCCCCGGCACACTTTGCCTGACGCACAGGGCTTCCTTCGTGTGCTCTGGGGACAGAACCCTGGGGGTGCTCCCCTTCCAAGCCCCTCCTCATGCCAGCATCTTGTTCCTGGACCTGGGTCTCTGTTCTCCTGGCACCCACATGTGTCTCTGCCTGGACTGAGAGTCCCCAGGCTGGCCTCTCGTGGGGAGTCCTTGAGAGGTTCTGAAACGGGTGCTGGACAGGCCTGGGGTGGGCCAGTGGGAAGGCCAACCCATACCTGGTAGAATGTGGGGGTGTAAAGGCAGAAGGGGTGTGTCCAGAGTGGGGGGCCTCACCTCTGTGGGCTGGCCAGGGCATGGCGTGTCTTCACGGGCCCTGGGCTCCCCACGCTGCAGGCCGTTCTCCCGGTGGCTCCCTTTTTCTGATTGAAGGAGGAACAAGGAACGGTGATTGTCCCGTGTGTCTGGCCTGCGCTGCTGTTCCTTCACGTACGTGTCACTCCCTGAGCGTGTGCTGGCTGGGATGGGCCTGTCCCTGCTCTTCGGGCCGGCGCGAGCGGAGACAGGTATGGTGGGGGGGCTTCTCAGGGAGACTGCTGGTCCTGAGCGCTGGGGCGGGCAGCGGGGCGAGGCGGGTCTGAATCCCTGCCAGAGGCAGGGTCGGGGGAGCCCTATTCTTAGCGTGGCTGCTTCTGGAGGGCTTGGTGGGAGGGGGGTGTCCCTGGATGCGAGCCTGACCTCTTGTTGGTCCCTGAGTGAGACCTGGGCAGCGGGGTGCCCTCTCCTGGGTTCTGTGGGCTGCTAAGGAGGGCTTCCTGGCGGAAGTGAGGTCGGGCTGGGTTGTGTGGGTGGATAGGAGCTGTAGTAGAGAAGGAGCGGGAAAATTTTTGTGGGTCTTGTAAGGGTTTCTGCTTCCCACAAGGAGGCGGAAGGGTTTGGTCTTTGGGAATCGGTCTCCGATGAGAAGTCTGGGTCTGTGGCGGCCTCAGCCTTTGGGGGGCAGGCAGTGGAAGGGGGTTAGTGTGCGCTGAGGTCCATCTGTGGGGACGGACCTGGTTTCCTGCGTCTCCGCTGCTTCCTTGGGTCGGCCCAGGAAGGGTTGTGGTCTAGACTTTTCTCTTGCCCTGTGTCCCCATCCAGGCACCCCTGGGGCCCCGAGCTGGGCAGACGGTTGGTGTTCATTGAGCTTACTGGTGGCCTGCTTAGTTGGCAGAGGTCGGGAAGCGCTGATTAAATGGGGTGTGCGTGTGCCGTGGTGAGGCCAGGTGTGGTCCTGTCCCCACATCTGCAGTCCAGCTGGGCCCTGCAGAGGGCCTGGGGGCCCTGGGGGCATAGAGCCCGGTGGGGGCTGCAAGCCCTCTTCACTCCACGGATCTCTCTCGGCCTGAGGTCTGTGCTGGTCCTTGTGCTGGGCCTGCTGTGGTTCTCCGCAGGACTTGGGGATCTCCCACCGTGTGCTCAGTGTGTCCTGCCATCGTTCACTCTGCATCAGGGCTCCGCTGGCCTGATCTTGATGGAGGCGCTGGGCTGGGGGGACCAGATGGAGGCTCTTGGGGGCTGGGGGCTGGGGAGTTTGCAGCAGCTGAGTGGACCCAGAGACTTGTTGTGGGAGGATATGGAGCAAGAATGTCCCCTGCAGGGAATGGCACAAGCAAAGGTCCTGAGGCAGGTGGGATGTATCCGTGAGTCTGGAGCTGTTTGGGTTTTGCTATGAGGTAAAGGTGATGGGAGGCAGGGAGGCCAGGAGTGAGTATGGTGGGCCTGGGCCGTGTCTCAGGGAAGGGCTCTGCCCCAGGGGGGTTGGACTCAGCCCTCAAGGGAGTGGTGATGTGGGGACCAGGGTCAGGGAAAAATAGAAGAGAGGTAGGGAGAGAGGA